GAAAAACACTACTGTTACCTGTTCACTGAAGGAGCTGAATTTGGAGGCATTCCAGCTCTTTTTCAACCTGGATTGAAAATTCATATCAGGTTTCAGATTGTCAAGTCTTCCCAGGTCCAGAGCTGCTTGCTGTGCAAAGGTCAGTTTTACAGTTTGATGCCGTTTTATCCCCACCTGTACTTCACTCCTACATCCTTCAGTGAAAACTGCATTGCTTTGAAGTTGAAGGTTGCATGCATGCAGGCAGAGCAGCTTTACTCCCACCCTGAGTTGGAAAAGATAATGGGCCCTGCAGAGCAGGTGTCCAATTGACCAAGGTCATCAAGCAATGACTTGGTGTAAATATCCAAATTGCAGTAGTGGACAAACTCAGCACATGACAGGTGCGGGTGATGGGAGTTCTTTTGTCTAGCCGTCACAGTGGTCTGAGGACATAGAACAAACCAGAGGAAGAAGCCTGTGCCTGCCTGAGAAGGTTATGTCATCACTGTAACAACCGGTGAGTTGGCATTACTTGGTGCAAATCTCTGCACTGATGTGTTTAGATGATTTTGTTTCTCAGGAGCTATTCATTCAGGGGGAAAACGGAAAGTGTAAAGATGAAGTGCGTTTTCTCTTGACATTTCCAAAGATGAATACGTGTGAAGGACAAGCAGGCAATCTCTTATTAGGAGCAGTCAATCCAAAGAAACTAGAAAGTCCTTCAGAGTTGTGAATAGATCACAACTTCAACAACAACAACAAAACCCCACACAACTAAAAAAAAAAATCAGAAGACTCTGCTCCTGGGAAAGAACAGAATTGTAACCAATATATTACAAGTTCATGGTTCCCAGCACTGTACTGAAGTTTCAATTTGAGACAATGTCTGCAAGTCAAAGTCAAAGACATCTACTATGTTCAAGTTGTGAATGATTAAAGTCACAAAAAATCGGTTTAAATTACTAGGATTTTTAAAAATACAGTTGATAAGATGAGATTTAGAAAAGCCCTTGAATTATGTAGGTTTAGGGTGCATATATTAAAATCGTTTATAGCATTTCTCCCCCTGGTTTCATAGTTGAAAAGGCTAATGTAATGTTAAATGCTTAGCTCAATGTTAAATCATTAGAAAGTGAATGAGTATAAACTTAAGTTGCTTTATATTTTCAATGAAGTGAAGAGGTCCGCAAACATTTCTGTAAAGGAATATATTGAGAGAGAAAACAACCTTTGAAAGACTTAGAGTGTACAGATGAATATTGGTGTAGTTTTACCCCCACTTCACAAGTGTGCATGCTGAAATTAAATAACTTATTCAATATTATACCTTTAGAGTGAAAGAGCCCAAATTCAAAGTCATGTCTTTTGACTGCTAACTCAGTCCTCTTGGTACTTGACTACAGTGCCTCTAGCACCCTCAGCATCAATAAAGGCCTCCAGCCCAACTGGCATGGATCAGTGGTCCACCTAGGAACCAGGAGGGCACATGCCCAGGTTGTGGGCTTGATCAGGGCACATGCCCAGGTTGTGGGCTTGATCCCCAGTACAGGGTGTGCAGGAGGCAGCCGATCAATGATTCTCTCTCATCATTGATGTTTCTATCTCTCTCCTCCTCTCCCTTCCTTACAGAAATCAATATATATATATATATATTTTAAAAGGCCTCCAGAAAGTTCTGAGTCCAATGGGACCTACTAACTTCTCCTCCCTCCAGGGTCACTGCAGCAATAGTTGTGTGGGAATGCTTGCTCTGTGTCTCCACTATGAACTATACAGCCTTCTTCTCTTTCTGTAAAGGAATATATTGGCCAGCAAATGTATTTTTGAGTGCCTACTACATGCCAGACATTGTTCTCATTGCTGGGATACAGAGTGACTTAGTCCCTGCCCTCAAGGAATTTTCATACTAGTAGGGGGGGGGAGACAATTAACAAGCACCAAATAACTAAATAAATTGATCCTATCAGATTCCGATAAGTGTTAGGAAGAAAATTCAATGGGGCAGGGGCAACATAGTTAAAAGTAACTAGCACTGGCAACTTAAGGTAGGACTGAGGCAGGCTGGGTGCTCAGCTAGGCTGGTTGGTGGCTGGATCAAGCAGGAAGACCAAAGAAGCAGCCATAACCATACCCAAAATAGTAGTTCGAATATTAGAAATAGCAACTGATGAGATAACATTTCCAATATAGGCTACTGCTGTGGACCGGGTAATCCATCCAGTGTTTTGAGTTTGGGCATGCAGAAGAAAGGAGACAGCAGAAGAAAATGGACACGCAGAAGAAAGTGAGACAGCTCCCAGGTGGACGGTAAGGGTAAGGGTAGGTTTCCTTAGGACAGATAGAATAATGATGGTGCTGATGTGTAGTATTACCTCTTACACCTGAAATAATTCCACATTATTTTTTTAAAAGGGGGGATAATGGTTGATACATCCAACTGTTATGTACCAAGCAATATTTTACATGAATTAACTCATGTGCAAGGATTACCTCACAGAGACCATTGTCCATGTTTTACAAACAAGCAAACTGAGATACAGTAACTTTCCTGTGGAAGACTAAATAATGCCCCCAAGGGTGTCCTAATCCTCGGAACCTGTGAATATGTTATCTCACATAGTAAAAGGGGCTTTGCAGATGTGATTAATTTTTTTTGAAATAGAGATTATTCTAGATTATAAATCTATAATAATAAAAGTATAATATGCTAATTAGACCAGACAGCCAAACAACCTTCCAGACTTCCTCCCGGACATCCTTCCGGATGACCTTCCAGATGAAGCCGGGACTGCGAGGGCCGAGCCCCTTGCGTGAATTTCGTGCATTGGGCCTCTAGTGTAATTATAAAGATCTTTAAAAACAGTCAGGAAGAAGATAGAAGCAGAGTTGGAGTGATGTGGCCAGGAGCCAAGGAATGCAGGCAGTTTCTAGAAGCTGAAAAAGGCAAGGAAATAGATTCTTCCCTAGAGTTTTGAGACGAAATGCCACCTTTATTTTAGTCTAGTGAAACTGATTTCAGCGTTCTGACCTCCAAAACTATAACATAATAAATTTGTGTTGCTTAAGCCACTAAATTTGTGGCAATTTGTTACAGCAGCAACAGGAAACTAATATATTGCTCAAGGCCAGGGAGCTACAAAGTGCCAGCGCCAGAATTAAAATTGAGGCAATCTGGTGCCAGTGCTAGAGATTTAGCTACTGTGTCACAGGGCCTCTCACAGGTAGAATAAAATTGCAGGTTAAATGCAAAATAAGTGTCTCCTAGATTTTCGTCTTATGCTCAGAATTCCAGGTTTCAGAGAAACTAAAAAAGAGAAAGACGATCCCATGCCAGTCCCCTTTGCTGCTTCATGTCTTCAGTGCTGGACCCAAGAGATCACTAAATAAACCTCCTATTTTAGAGATGAGGAATTTGAGGACTAATGGGTTGTGATTTTGAAGTTACCTAACTGGTTGGTGAAACAATCAGCTAGTTACACAGGTGGTGATGAGGCAGGTGGTGATGTGGAGAAACCAACTGATTTCAGTGCCTGATGGAATTCGAGAAAGGAGGCAAGTGAGGACTGAAGAATCCAGGCTTCCTGAAACCTGTGTTTCTCATTATTCGCTTAGAAAGGGTGGGAGAAGAAATGTGAATTACACACCTGCCCAATATATTGATTTCAGAGAGGAAGGGAGAATTAGAGAGAAACAACCATGATGAGAGAGAATCGTTGATTGGCTGCCTCCTGCACGCTCCATACTGGGGATGGAGCCTGCAACCTGGGCATGTGCCCTTGACCTGAATTGAACCTGGGACCCTTCAGTCCACAGGCCAGTGCTCTATGCACTGAGCCAAACCAGCCAGGGATCACACCTGCCCAATATAATATCTCTAGAAGAATTCAAAGTTCTCACTTTAGCAAGCTTTTAATCCCTTGTAATTATTATATTTCCAAGTATTTATCCTCTTTGACATCCTGATTGCTGCCCCCAGCTCTCTACCACAGCATCTAAGACACAGTGGGTGCTCATAAATATGAATGAAAATGCTTATGATAGCATCCTTAGGCCAGTGTTTTTTCCAAACTTAAGGTGCATGCAAACCCCCTGGGGACCTCGTTAAAATGCAGATTCAGAGTCAGAAGCTCCGGTTGGGGCCTGCGATGAGCATTTCTACCAAGTTCCCATATGATACTGTTTTTCAAAGTCCCTGAAAAGAAGACCTCCCTATCCATATACAAAATATAAGTCATATTAAGTTTGCTCATTCAATAAAAGTCTGCAAAGATGGAATAGAAACAACCCTTTCCCCTTTTAGGCCCCCCCCCCCCCCATAAAGGGAACAAATTAGATGCCAAGAATCAATGGGAAGAGTTGGAACAGTGCCCCAAATGCCTGTTCCCTGTACTCTGCTTGGCTCGTCCCCGGGCAGGGAAGTGTGTAACGAAAGGAAAATGGGAAATGTCCAGGAGTTCTTAGGCCTCCGTTCCTCTTCCATTTCCAGCCTTGAAGGAGCTTCTGCCCCCTTTTGAACCGCCCAAGTCACCGCCAAACACAAGGGAGTGCAGCGCCTTGCCCCGCTCCACGCCCTCCCCGGGCGGAGGCGGCTGAAGGCTGACGCGCGTGCGTGTGCGCTCCGGCTCAGTATAAATAGATCCCAGGCGGCCGCCACTGGACACAGCCGGGCTGCGGGCACCGCAGGCCATGGCAGGCGAGCACCACCAGTGGCCAGGCAGCATCCTCTACAACATGCTCATGAGCGCTAAGCAAACGCACGAGGCTGAAGCTTCAGAAACTCTGG